GAAAAAATAATAATAATAACGAACTTCCATTTGCATCCTCACATGCGAAGTGGCAAAGTTGTTCCGGAGTGCCAACGGTGAGGAAACAGTCTTTTAAGCCCAACTAGAAAAAGAAACTGTGAAACCAAAACAATGAAATATTAGGTAAAAAAGAACTGTTACTCTAAGCACCAAAGACTTACATAGGAACATAAAGACCCATTGCAGTTCCCTGAATCACAAACTTTAGTTGAGTCTCGGCACAACGTACCATCACGTTTAGGCGTAGATGGCGGGCAAACTGCGCTTCTGCCATCACAACTTTGTGCATCCAAACAATCAGACGCAGTTCGGCAAACCCTAAGAAACTTTTTAGACAATTAATTATTTTATAGGGAGAGTTGACTAATTAGCCTGGCGAATCTAGTAAATGTAATAAAACAATACGTCTCACTGCAGAACCAAGTCTAGAGAAGAACTGTTATAAGGGTACTACAAACACAAAAAAGATTAATAGGTAAAGCAATACTTCATGTTCGCCTGTGTGAATTCGCAGCTTGATACTTCGCAACAAACTCCTTGAGATATACTGCACTTTGCACCACTTTTAAGTTTACAACCTCTACGACCTGCTTCATGAGGATGACAGCAAGAATCTTCCATTAAATCACATTCAGCTTGAGAATAACCACAATCACACTCCTCACCGGATTCCTTTAACTGGTTGCCACAGAATGACTGTTTCAAAGCTAAAATTGCGTGGTATTTTGAATTTAAAAAGATGACTAGATCTATCGTTAATTCCGAAATCAGCTTTTGAAAAAAAAAAATTATAATATAAAAAACTGAATGAATGACAAAGTAGGACGTCCAACAATCTGCTAATAATTAATAAAAATTCAAAAAGCAATACGGTAAAATCAAAAATAAAGAAACGGGAATGTGGAATAAAAGACGGGTAAACAATCATACGTCTAAAACAGTTCCTCCTCGTAGGCCCAGAGTGACTAAAGAACCGCGGAGCCGCATTCTCATCAAAATATGGCGGGTGTTTCAGAATCTAAACCGAACAATCCATTACTTTTTCACAACTGTACATAAATTTTTGTTTTCGTTCTTAAAGGCACAATAAATACTCTAGGACATTAACATACTTCTCTTAATACAGCACTTATATTCGCAATAGAACATTTTGAAAACTTGGCATTATTTATCTTATCTCCAGAAGTGGCCGAGGAAAACATTATGTAGTTACCATCAGGTAAACCAGGCTGACATTCGGCAGGGTAATCATGCTAAAAAGAAAATGTGAACATAAATGACCATAAAAAGTAGAAACAGAAAAACTGCAAGTCATTACAGGTGATCCAAAATTGTGACCAATTTCATGTGCCAGAGTCAACTGGGAAACCCTAGGAGGAATCCTACTCCCGTAATTAATTAGAGTTACGACGCCTGTGTTGAGTGACCGAAAATCATACGATGAATCTTCTGCACACTTGCAATGTTGATGACAAACACCTCCCATCGCGTCTGGAAAAAAATCTTCGAAAACAGTGTATTAAGAACTGGGTATTCACATTCGGCCTTAACATAATACGACGGAGAATAAATTTTTTAACTTATATATAAAAAAAGTGAAAAAAAAGTCAAACATTGACTTGGAGCAGCCACCCAAGCAAGTCCCAAAGTACCACCATTGAAATCACGATAGGTGAAAACATATGCCAGACAGAAATCAGAATGATTGCTCTTCGAATTCAAATTCAACATATTCGAAATATCAATATGCTCGTTGCAATAGGGGTTCGGTTCATTCCTGGACTGATTACCAGCGGGTTTGTTAGCAAAACAAGTATCCGGAGAGAAAATCTAAAAAATGTATTTTGAAAACACATTTAAACATATCAGTAACAAAATCCTAAAAAATTCGGTTAAAGCATCCTGAAAATAGTGGTGGTTTCTATATAAATCCCAGAACAAAAGTTTTCATAAAATTTGTGACAGTAGAAGAAATACTGATATGCGCTGGACAACGAAATTGATCCCTCTGATTCCCTCAAAATCAGTGTTTCCGTATATGCTGTTTAACGTTTGCATATGGGAATTAATCATATTTATAATCTCTTCTCTTGTCCTGAAATAAACATTCAGTCAATCTACAATAACCTACTAATAACTTTGAGCTAAATCCAAATGTAAAAAAATGCATTAATTTGCAGCGTCTCCTAACCTACTTACCTGACATTATCTTGGTTGCCTTCCTGCGAATAAATCATTCTGTATAGTGTATGATCAATTTGGATGTAAAGGGTGCATGTCCTAAACAATTAAAAAAATAAAATTTTAACAAACATTAGCGCTAAAAAATCCTGTGCTTCAGAAGGAAGGCAAAATTTGATTTAAAATACATAAGTCGCTTACGATAGAGTAGTTTTAACGCAAAACGCGAACATAGAGAGCACTACCCAAAAAGGCTACACAATACAGAAGAACACTGTCTTCTCATACATCAATATTAAACGTAAAACATAAGTTTTTTAGCTTTATATATGAAGTTTCTTTTCAGTTATATAAAAACATCAAATTTGGAACACATAGAAATAAACTCTTAAAAAATAAATATTAATTTTGGATTATTGTACAATAAAGAACAGCGTAAAAACACTCTTCGGTATACTGGAAAGCCCTAATATCAAAAAACACACTCAAAACCCTTGAGGACCACAAGTGCTCCACGCAAAGTCAGAGCCAGATGAAGCACAATCTACACGGAGTTAGTTAGGCTGTGCACCAAGCATACAAAAGAAGAGCTAGGTGAGGACAATTATACAGAAAAATAACTCCCAAGTAAATCATAGACCTCCCAAAATTGAAGAAAATTGAAAAAACCACGCCCAAGAAGTTTTAGCAATATTTCCATCGCCAAATATACAGAAAATGTCGTGTCCCTATCAGCTCCTCCCCTTATAAAAGAAGCAATAATCACTTGCGCGTTCACAAAATGCAAAATCTGCAACAACAGCTATAAATGAGGCCTACCTGACATTATGAATTGGGTATGTACCAATGTACTTAACATCCGGCATAGCATCACGTTTGTTCCTTACAAAATTACCAAAAAAACTGCAATATAAGACAATATATTTATTAAAAAAAATTTGAAAAAATGCAGTAAACTATAAGCGCTATAGAACCTGTTAAAGGTACGATGACCACCGTACTGTTCTTCATCTAAATCTTCATTAACCATGCTCTTCTGAATCTTTTCCATTTTACGCTTTATCTCCTCCGTAAGACCACAACCTCCAATGCCCTCATTTTCTGTTGATCTTTTCTTTCGAAATTTAGGATGATTTATTGCACTATCTAAAAAGAAATGAAATTTACAGAGAGTACATTCAAGCCCTAATTTAAAGGTTTGAAGATAAAAAGCAGAAAGAAAATGAAATATGCTAACTGTTTGGAGTTTACCTGAGTAAATTATAGAATGAAATTTCTTCTGCCTTTTATGTAAAGGAAGGTACTTCCCAACTTTATCAACCGTGAAAGATTCACCATTACTGAACTGAATATGTCCATCAAAAACCCCGTCTAAAAGTGACCCATAAACAACAGAATCCCGGTCGCCTAAAACTTGACATAATTATCCCTTTATCACTCACTCGTAACTAATATAGCAAATATTTCTATCAAACAATTTTCAGTTTCAAAAAGTCCAAAAATAATTCAGTTTCATAAACGCATCTTATCAAATTAAAAAAAAAAA